CAAAGTAGCAAGTAACAGATTTTTGCGAGATACGAATAAATCGACTTTCTCAAATGTTGTTTTTGCGAATAACTCTAAAAATATACATTTTATCAAAAAAATGTAGAGTCAAATTGTAGCTTTTAAAAAAACGAAAACAATGCGTTTTTTTATAATTTTTCTATGGCAAATATGAACTAAGATACAGTAAATTAATGCTTAGCTTTTTTCGTCAAATGCATAAATCGGAAGATTAAGAGCGAAATAACGAGAAAAAATTGCATTATTCGAAGAAAGCTCATAGAATCTTTTTAAAGTATTTAATTAGAGCTTTCAAACAAATAAAAACTGTCTCTAGCATGAAAATTGACCGACTTATGATCAAAATAAGATCGGTACCCGCCTTTTTTCTACGAAAAAATTCTGTGAAAACAACCCCTAAAATACCCCCTAGTTAAAATTGATCGCCACCCTTCTGTAATTCTTATTATATATGTACTATTAATACACCCACGAAGTTTGACCAATTTAAAGTGCCAAATTTAAGAAAAATTGGAGTTTAAGGAGAAAAACGGTTTTATTTTCAATTTCGTGTTTTTCACCATTTTCTTAAAATTTCCGAAAAATACGACAAAGTACTAAATTGTAGCTTTTTTAATGACAAAAATTTCCCTGTGTGCATATTTTTTGTACAGTGAATATTCGGCGAGATATAGCTGTTTAACACCTCTATCACCTAAAATGAAGGAGCTATGCTTAAAAAATCGATATTTTTTTTAAATAAATTTCAATGCTTTTAAGGGTAGTTTTTAACAAGAGTAGGTTGAAAGATTATGAAATTGTGTCCTAAGGCATGAAACAATCATTTTTTAACTATTTACCCATATTTAGGTTTTCAATTTTATTTGATAATTTTTGATAATATGGAGTACTTTTCACCCCTAAGAAACAAAAAGCGTACAACGGCACAATATAGAAAATGAACTAGAGGGTGAAATAAGCCTAATCCCAATTTTTTGTACAAATCGGTGCTGGACGAAAAAATTGCGAGGTTTTACCATTTTTTTGGCTTCATTTCCAGTCCCATGCATAGTCGTAGCATGAGCATCACAATTGATATTATATCAAGTTTTTTATCGCGCCTAACTGTGAAACTTCATAGTAATTTCACAATTGAGCGTGATAACAAACGTGTTACATATCATATCGTCGCCATGCTCATGCTAGGGGGGCTGGATTATAAGTGTTTTTATCCATTCTTATTTTGCTAAAAATCCCATTCTTTTCCGGAATGCAACTCATTGCCTTAGTCTTTTAAGGTCACACATACTTCGACTAATTTCCTTAGTGGTCGCTGATGGGCCTCATGCCTGAACAAATGCCTATATACTCTTTATAGTTATTTATATCTTTTTATGTTAATTTTAAAAGATTTGAAAATCCCATCCCTTTTTGCGTTCGTATTTATTGTTGTCACAAACTGTTTTTTTTTTCTTTTCAGATCCAGGAAAATGTAAGCCATTAAGAATTGTCACTACGCCCAATATACAAAAACAAATAAAAAATCTGAAACGTGAAATTTTAAGGCAAAAAAAGAAGTCTACTAATTTCAAAACCAGACTGGAAAATGCAGAGAAACTGACGCATAATAAAGCATTTAAATTAGTGACAGAGAAAATGAACTTGCCTGCAAAAATTTTCACAAAGATGCAATTCCGTGAAACACAAAAGAAACCAAAGGGTCGCCGGTTTGCTGTGGAAGAAAAAATATTATCCCTTTCTTTGTACAAAAGAAGTCCGAAGGCATATAATTTATTGAAGAAATGCTTCACATTACCATCAGCTAAGTCTTTAAAAAACTTGCTTGCAAAAATAAGAATTGCGCCAGGTATAAATAATTTAATTTTTGAAAAAATCAAATATACTGTAGCATACATGAGTGAAGATGATAAATTATGTGTCTTGATTTTTGACGAGATGTATGTAACTCCTCAAATACATTATGATTCCTGTAATGATAAATTAAAAGGATTTACAACATTTGGTCGACAGCAAATTGCTGATCATGTGCTGACATTTATGATCAGAGGGATAAAAAAAAATTTCAAACAACCTGTGGCATACTATTTTACGCAGTGCTTAAATAAAATTGATTTAAAAGAAATTCTCATAGCAGTAATTGCAGAAGTAATCTCTACTGGCCTTAAAATCATAGCCACTGTATGTGACCAAAGCACTGTAAATGTTGGAGCAATTGAAGGCTTAATAAAGGAAAGCAAAGAAATGTTTTTAAGAAAAGGTATGCATTGGAAAGAGGACTGCATAATTTTTAAAAAAACCAAAATAATTCCACTGTATGATGTTCCACACCTGTTAAAAGGGTTACGCAACAATTTGATGAATAAAAATTTAGTATATTATGATGCAGAAGAAAAAAGTGAAAAAATAATTAAGTGGAACTATTTCCAAGAACTATATGATGCAGACAAAGCACACGGAGAGTTACGCATTCTTCAAAAAATAACAGAAGAACATGTAAATATTGAAAAAATCAATAAAATGAAAGTGAAAACAGCAGCTCAACTATTCAGCCACAGCGTTGCTATTGCGGCAGAACATCTTTATCAGGCCGGAAAAGTGAGCGTTGAAGTTAGAAAAATTTCAAAGTTTTGCCTTTTTGTAGACCGCTTATTTGATAGTTTAAATTGCAGTCAATTTAATATACCACATGGTAAAGTGTATAGGGCAGGCGTAAAAAAACATTCTCCTCATCATCAACTTTGGACAGAAGCTATAACTTTTATTAAAAATATAAAATTTTTAGAAATAAAACAAACAGGAGGCAAAGTCCGCACTATTGAAAAGACGGTACCTACATTGAAAAATTTTATTAAAACTATAGAGGGTATGCAAGCCATTTGGAATGTTTTATCCAAAAAGCATGGCTTTGACATTATGATTTGCAGAAATTTCAATCAGGACCCTATTGAAAATTTTTTTGGTAATGTAAGAAGTTTAGGGGTCAGAAATGTAGCACCAAATTCAGTTGCGTTTGAAGGTGCCTACAAATCGCTTTTATTGAGTAACTTTTCTTCATCTCACTCAATAAAAGCGAATTGCGAAGAAGACATAGCTACATTTCTGCATTCCCTAAACTTTTTATTAGAAAAAAGAGATGTAACAATTGATAAGTCGCTATCAAAAGAAAAAGATTTACCATTACAAATTAATATAAGCGACAAACTATCCCAAAGCAATTTTGAGTTGAAAGAAGCAGGGTCTGCATCCAGAAATTATGTTTGTGGTTGGGTCCTGAAGAAATGTTTAATTAAAATTTGTAAATCATGCAAAGCGTGCAGAGAAGAATTATTATTAAAAGATAATGAAGATAGTGGGAATTCACTAATTAAGGCAAAAGAATATGTAAGTGGCAAAAAATGGCTTGTATATCCTTCCCAAAAACTAAACGAATATTTTTTTCAAATACAGGAAAACGCTACAAACTCATTAAAAAACAATGTTAGCGATAAAAATACAAAATTAAACATAAAAATAATTAATGATTTATTAATCGATAATTTTAACTTACAATGCACAAAACACAACAAATTATTTAAATCTTATTTCGAGGACGCTGTTATTAATATTTTAATATATAGTTGGTGCCGATCTTTGAATAGAATAATAGCGGGAAAAATTTCATATGATGATGGGGATGATGAAAATAAAATAGCTGCTCAAACTTATTTTAACAAACATAGACATAATAAATCTAAAAAATAAAAATGTGTTTTATTATTATTTCGAATATATAAACTATTTCCATTAAAAAGAAACCACGAATAAAATTGCTAATAAGAGTGGTTTGTAGTAAGGGCCTGCATTTTGTAAGTATAGAAAAGTGCACTTGACTAGCTTTAAATCTGCTCCAACCTATTTCAGATTAGAATACTGAAAGTGCATTTTTCTATACTTACAAAATGATGGCTTATGCTAAATCATTAAATTTGAATAGTGAAGAAATTATATCTATGTGTGTGTAGCTTCCTGTATCAAGTAGTTTATGGAACAAGTTTGACAGATGGCGCTAGTTGCCAGGCGACATTTAAAATGCTATAGAGGGCTCTCTATTTCTAGTAATATTACTTTTCTCTATGATCTCTTTATATCTCTATGTCTTTTATGACGTAAATGTTTTTTTTTAATATTTTCTTATGGGAACAGGAAAAAAGCAAACACGTTTTATAGCGACGTAAAAAGGATGGATGCTAGTAAAGAAAAAGTCCATTTGTAAACTTTGAATAGAACTTCGCCTTTGCCTTTTTCCAACATAAAATATGTCGATAGCCAAGCCAGATAGTTTTATTAAAAAAAAGTACATTATCATATTTACAAAAAGTTACTGCTCTGGTTCCTTGCGTATGTAATACCAATTCAAAGAAAGGCGACGGAATATTTTGAATAAATTATGTAATGATCTCACTTGTATGTGATCTTTGAGCTTCTGTGTTACCAGTAATTATTGGTTCAAGTAGGTCTACGTATCATTTTGTGTATATGTATAAAAAAACTCGTTTATAAGCCACCCAACCGTGTAGAACGAATATAAAAAATGGTTGACCATTGGTGGTTAGTCCCGATCATGTAGAAGGCTTTTAAGGGTGATTGTTATATCTCTAAGACATGGGACACATAGAAAAGACGTAAGGCCAGCGTTTCCAATTTTGCGGGCAGCGGTGCGACGGTGGCGGCGGCGCGGGTACCGTGGGATTTTATGCGTTTCATCAAATGTACCGAAAAATAGCGGTGCGGTAGCGGGGCGGAAGCGGACGATGAGTGGAGTGATCTGCATGGACAGTGTAGTGCAATTTATTTTTGTGATTTTTCGAAATGTATTAAATGTATGAAACCGATATCTCTCTGACGCGTCATGATACAACACGTCAGTCAAATATAAATGCGGTATGAAATATATACTACCTATTTTAGTAAAAGGAATTGTTTTAAGTAGTCTATGATATTTGCCATCACATTGATAACATTGTCAGCCGATTGTCAGTAAAAAATCGTACAAAACATTACTGTTATGTATATGTAATATATCTCTGTTTGAATTTATTTTAAGAATATTCTATTGCTGTTTATCTAGCTGGGTGGGAGAGATGTTATTGACTAAGTTAGCCGTTTCAAGATCGTGGTCAAAGGTGAACCAAGTTAGCGCGTTACCTCTACGTGGTTACTGCAACCCTTGTGCCCCGGAGTGGTCCCCTAGCCCCCCTTGTCCCCCCTGCCCCCCGAGTCCCCCATATACTCCTCAACGCTCCCAACCTCAGCAACCGCTCCACTACTGCTGTCCAAGAACTAAATACGATGTCAACTTTATATACATCAACGATATGCCACCGAACACAACGGTAAGGGATTTCTTCGATCGTGCTTCGCAGACCTGCTTTTGGACGGAGATCTTCAGAGGTTTGATGTTCCAATATGTTGAATGTTTATTAAATTTTGTTAAAAGGGAGGAAAACAAGTAATTATGGCCCGCCTGATGGAAAGCGACCACCATAACATATAGACGATAGCGTACCAAAGTTATCGCTTGCGCCGTTTTTTCTCTCTTCTGTGGGTAAAATTGTACTTGTTGATACGGGAGCTGACACTCCACATTCAAATTACACCGGAAAATTCCGCGATGAAAAGTGAATTGGTTTTAACAGAATAGCACGGTCGAACCCAATTTCGTTCCCCGCAAAGCCCTGAAACCTCAAACGCAATACCCACCAAAGAAGGCATTATTTTAATAAGTGATGATAATGTTGTTATTGTGCTTATATTCACTATGGTTTTATAAGTAAATCTCTTGAAAACCCCATTAATTTAGCATAATTTATTTATTTGAGTTGGTAATAGTATGTAAATAAAAATAAAACTGAATTTCAAGTATCATAATGAGTGCGTAATAACCAGGCAACGCTAATCAGGAGTCCGTATTTAAATCCGTATCATCAAACCCGTACATGTCCTGTCGTAAACCTAATTTCCAGTTCCTGGGGCTTGCGCTAAATTGTATTTAAAATCTAATTAAGATGGAAATGAGCAGTCAAGTAGGTGTTATTTTTGGAATTAAAGCATACTTGTCGTTAGTGCTTATTAGAGTTCTCTAATGAGATAACATTTTTCATTTTATTATCTAGTTTAGGAATAAAGCCTAAACAAGGTTGATGTTACATTGACAAGAACCTCTGGTCTGTGATTGAACTAATCTTGCAATGACTTTGACTACGTAATTTATCACCCATTAACACTGTGAGCTCGTAGTGAAAAAACACCACACCTAATCTTAATAAAAGATACACTTTTCTATAGGTGTATTACTAATGTATATGTTCTGACAAACCTATTCCAAAATCCACTGAAATAAATTCATCTGTTATTGCGTATTGAAGCTTCTTCATTTATCTTCATGTTCTAGCGTTAGCTGTAACTTATGGTTGTCGGTTCCAGGATTTGCGGTCACACTCGCTCACATATTTAAAGAGCCGGCGACTATAAACTACCCTTTCGAGAAAGGCCCTCTCTCGCCTCGGTTCAGAGGCGAGCATGCTCTACGGAGATATCCATCGGGCGAGGAGCGATGCATCGCTTGTAAGCTTTGTGAGGCCATTTGTCCAGCGCTGGCCATAACCATTGACGCGGAGGAACGGAACGACGGATCCCGACGCGCCACCAGGTATGACATAGACTTGACCAAGTGCATTTTCTGCGGCTACTGCCAGGAGGCTTGTCCCGTCGACGCTATAGTCGAAGGACCCAACTTCGAATACTCGACGGAAACACGAGAAGAACTATTCTACAACAAAGAAAAACTACTAACCAACGGCGATCGCTGGGAGGCCGAGATAGCGAGCAATATAAAGGATAATCACTTGTATCGTTAAGGTTCAAGACGAAACTGATCCCGGACAATAAAACTGGCTATTGGGTTCCCAGCGATCTCTACATTCAGCTGTTAAACCGGAAAAAAAGTTGTGTAAAGGATATTCCGCTTTGAAATACTGCGCTTATTAGTTTTGCATTGACTTCATGTTTTTTATTTCAGTCTTTTATTTTAATCCAATTATTTTAATGTAATGGTTTCATAAACATATTTGTGTGGTATGTGATTGTGTTATTTACTATTTAACTTTATTGTTTTTTTATATATTTGATAAAGGTACTAGGTAATGTCCGTGACTTCATATGAGCAGAATAATTAGTTTCCAGTACAAACTTTTATGATCTCACGAAAAAATTATTGAATGGGAGTGTAAATGAAAGATGAAATTTGGCACACGTTTTGGTTAATTATATTTATTAAAACATAGGATTCTTTTTATCTCAGAAAGCAATTAAGGTGCCTGAGGGAGGCTCAAAAAACTAAATAAAAGCGGACAAAGTTAAGGGCAACTTCTAGTTTATTAATAAACTTTAAAATGAAGCTGATAAATCTTGAGAGCACGTTTGGCATACACCATAATATGTAAATGGTAACTACCTATCTCGATGTCAGATAACAGTAGCAGATAGGTAGATAGGTACGTATCACATCCACGCAAGTTACGAGTACAACACTGTCACTCTAGTTACCATGTTAGCAAACGACGCAGCCCGCAACTTAAGGTAACTGTGTAGTTTGCTTAAGTGCCGAGTCCGCTATCAGTGTGAACATGTATAATTCATTCGGCTTCCCAGCCTCATTACTATATTTTACTGCACCATTTGTGTTTTAATATATTTTGTGATTTGTTTTCCGTTCCTTTCCAATATCAAAGCCCACTTGCACTAAAGTTCTTAAATCAAATTTAAAAGCTAATCATGCTTAAAGTCTCATCTGTTTATGACGTTAAACAACAAATATGATATGATGTGTTATCGCCAACGATATTAAACCTTTTCAACGGTCCGCTGTGAAGCAAAAACTACTTGAGTGGCGTTCAAGCACTTCTTGATTGGGACACATTTTGAGTGCTAGTGGTGTATCTGGAATTTTTAATATCTTTGGCTATCCTATATATAGAAACGAATTCTTATTTCTCATGGTTTCCCACTGTATACTCATTCTGCGTCTTCAAATATAACTTAGAGAGTAATTGAATATATGGGATAATATTGTGAATACAGTAAACCGTGAGTACAGGGAACTATACTCTCTAACGCAATGCACACATATTTCTATAACACCTTTACTTGAGAGCGACTTGATTTATTTCATCTTTTTTTTAGTTTTGTTATACTTTTGTAAAAAGTTCTGATTGGAAAACAAAAAAAAAATAAGAACTCTGTAGTGGAGTTTTACGATTGTTTTTATCTGACAGCATTGCATCTATTGCGATCGCTACTATAGAAAAAAATCCTTAATTTAAGAATTTTGGTGCAATAGGCTCAGAAATTAAATAGAATTTACAATAACACTAGTCTCACTAAAGAATCAGAGTAGAAAGTATATATTTTTTCTACTAAACTTATCAAGTGTTTTCAAAAAAAAAATCGCTGTTGTGTTTAGCTTATCTGGCTGTTTTATTATTAGCTCCACGGGTTAGGAGCAAAAGTGGTAACACAGGAGTTTATAGTCGATGGTACCTGCTTAAAAAAAAATCAAAATACACACGCAAGAATAAGTTTTTTCGCTACCATTGTATGTAATGTGAAGCTGTACTTTCTCGATTAGTCAAATTCAGACGGGAAATCCGCTATGCATAACGTGACCAAACGTCCTACTTTGAACGGGATAGCCACTTTTTCCGTTTAATTTTTTTATGAAAAAGGATTCCGGACGCGAAATTTTACCCGTTTTCCCAAGATTCAAGGGTTTCCCGAGCGTGAGTGGTGTGAATAAGAATTCTATTCTTATCTAAAATCCTAAAATCGTCGCAGCTATATTAAAACATATTTGTTCCTCTAACAAATATAGAAATAAAAAAAATATCAAATTGCTTGAAACCATAACGCTCCGTTAAGGTTTCAAGCAATTTGATAAATTTGTTTTTATTAGACTACAATAAAACTGATATTTTTTCTTTTTTTAACTGTCAATAAATAAATAAAAACATTAGTTAGATATACTGCTTATGTTACTCTAAAATAAATTAACTTGCCTGATTACGTTTATACTTCGACTTTTTACTAGCTGCAGTAAAATGACGTTTCATAATGTCATTACGTAAAATAATGTTGACAGCCTAATTTCAATAGGGATGTGATTAGGTTCACAGAAAATCTAATCGTTCCATAACTCATAATGATCATACTTAATTCTATTTATTAGCTTATAAATTAAGCTTAGCACTTATAAATAAAAGGCTGTATAAAATCTCAAGTTGGTACTGGTTTTTAGTTACGGTGCCACGATGAGGTTTGTCTGCCATTTTATTTCATTTGTCATTCGCTCATTCGGCTTCTAACTTCTGTTTTGAGTGCACGAATAACTTTGCTTTGCCCACTGCGAGTTGTTTTAGTTATAATATTTTTTTATTTTTTTTTATAATTCCAACACTTACACCAATTAGCCTAGCCCCAAAGTAAGCACTATAAGGCTTGTGTTATGGGATATTAGGGTAATGGATAGAATACATATACTGTACATATATAAGTATATTTATATAGAAATACATATTAAACATCCATGACTGGAGTATAAATGCTCGTATTCATCACACAAACATCTGCCCCCACCGGGATTCGAACCCGGAACCTCTCGAGTCGGTGACACCATGGAACCCGGCGTACAAACCACTTGGCCACGAAGGTCGTCAAATTATATATTGTTAAATTTTTGTTACGTTGTGTTTGTTTTTCGTTACCTACTTACTTTTGTTAATCGTGTCAGCTTTTATTTGTTTGTTACATCGAAGACATGGATGCTCAGTTGAGCACATCATAAGATGGAGATACATTTTTATCTCCTAAGAAAAAAGGCCACGTGTAGCTCTAAGTGTAACTGAGAAACTTTGGGTCAAAAACAAATATTTGTTAGAAGTGAAATCTACAGAATCAAACATTGAAGTTCCAAAAACAAGTGAATGCGTCAACAAGGTGGCTGAAGTCTTGGAAATATCCGTCCGCACTGTTTATTCCGTTTTAAAGGAGCACAAGGAGAACGACTGTGAATCACCAAAGCCTCCCGAAAACCGCCGAAAACTTACATTTGAAGAATAACTTGATGATTTCACATTCCGCTATTAGACCAATTGTACATCACTGTCTTTCATAGAAATTAAGTACCCATCATCGCAAAGGTTAATTTACCTGTCATCACTAATCTTTTTATTATACGTTAGGTATAATATGTTTTCTCCCACCCCATGTGGAATTTTAACCAATTAGATGTGGCTGACCACTAAAAATATTACATTTGAAACAAATATGGTGAAGGCCACTCTCATAGATATTGTGAAACAACAAAATCATACTGAAAATTATGGCGTGAACGAGATTGCTGCACAAAAAGATATCTGACTTTTAAGACCTCCCCCTTATCACTGTGAATTGAACCCGATCGAGTTGGTTTGGGCTCAGGTAAAGGGGCATGTCGCAAACAATAATAAAACATATAAAATGCAAGAAGTGAAAACTTTATTCCAAGAAGGAATCAACAGTGACACCGGCTAAGTGGAGTGACTGTGTGTCTCACACTATAAAAGAGGAAGACAAAATGTGCCACCTCGATCATATTATAGATGAAGTGACAGACAGATTTGTCATTAGTGTGACCGAAAGCGACAGCGATAGTGATTCCGAAAATGATTGATTAATAAATAACATTGTTATGACTTTTTGTTTATTGTTTAATTTTGGATGTACGTCCCTATACTTCCATAAAAAAAACAATCCTTTACTATAGTAATAATAATAGAATGAAAAATCATTACAACTTAATATTAAATCTCTTAAACAAAACCAAACTGATCATTCATTTATTGAATGATTCACTTACTCACTCAGCTACATCCCTATTTATTTTTCTTCAAAAAGCGGTAACCCACAAAACGTCATTTTACTGCAGCTAATTTAAAGTTCTACTTTAGATAACAAGTTAACGCAAAATAAATTAAAACTGCCCAATTACGGCAGCTTAAGCAACTTCATACGAAAAACTCCCATTTATTGTTAAATTATTCTTAGAGACATTATCACTATTGAAAAAAGAATAGCTTTACGATATAATATTTTCATTTTAACGATATATTTAATTTAGCTCTAGATAAATGTGGTAAAGTTATATCTGAACACTTCAATTAATCAATTTCTGGCACGCGAGTGCCAGTTTATGGAACCAACTAATTTTGTCATGAGCGTACTGATTGATACAAAGGCCTTGATTTTGGTATTCTATAAAAAATAACGTCAACGGTTCCAGTTGACGTTATTAAAGCGGAAAAAGTTATTGTTTACGGATCAATGATTATAACAATATTAAAAACAGGACTATCAAAATTCGGTGGTTTGTTTTAGGAGAAAGTGGTATTTAGCAAGATATTCGAAATAAGCGCACATTGTCTGTTATTTTAGTATATTTTTCCAAACAAGTGAATATATTTACAAAATGTCAGGGTAGATGCCATTAAAACTTATAAAAAAAAACCGACTAAGTTCGAGTCGGACTCGCATGAGAAGGGTTCTGTACCATTTTCTATATAACATCAGACCCTATAATATTGTCACAAATGCTCTCGAACCAAAACCGCGAAAATGTTAGTGACAGATTTTGCCAGAACACCACAAGTCACGACGTGAATGATCGCGATAAAGGCCGAGTGGTGCGGCTCACTCTAATAAAAGCCTTATGCAATGCGGCGTAAGTGAGAAAGTGCAACGACACCTGCACTTGTTTACAACTAATGCGCGTTATCTACGTACGAGTATAAGTAGTAACTACGCACTCGCGGGTGCTAGTTAACTCTCAATTAAACTGGACTTTTCTAGAATAAATTCATTGGCATCCATAGTCGATCGAAGTGCAAGTAAAGTATTCAAGTGTGATTGTTTAAAGACTTGTATAGTGTAAAGTGAGTGTAGTATTGTGTGTTTTAGAAAGAACTGTGAACTGTGTGGTGAATAAAGATAATTTCGAAACCCATCCCGACACGTAATAACTGGTACAAAAGTGATATGCCAATCACATCAC